GGATAACAATTCCAAAAACCAAACACGTGCTTCCAACACATTGTGCTTTCTGGTATTCTGGGTTTGCTTCAGCTGCCAGATGAGCTAATTGATGCATTCACCACGATAACCACGTGAGCCCACCTCCTTGAGGAAGCCCACTCTATTCTTGGTAACATGATAGGTCACTGAGAGGTGGAAAGTGGGCAAGAACCCCGACATCACCTGGAAATTCTTGCCCGGGAAGGCAGTTTCATGAATGAGGTCTTCCAAGCAAATAACACTGAGCTTCCCCAGGTGCTCCTCAGTCACTGTGTTGTCTGTCAGAGGCATGGTTTTCTTCTTGACCCTGGCTTGTCCACGTTTCAAGATGGGTTCCTGGACAGAGTTCAGACATGGAAACCCCCAGGTCACATAAGCTTCCACTATACGCAGTATTTTTGTGGCTCGGGGGATCACTTTGACAAAGACACCACTGAAAGTCTTCTTCAGGTGAACCTTTTTTATGGTCCTTTGCACCAATAAATTCACCCGATTAATTCTTTAGATGCATACAACAAAGGCCAAGGAATGTTCATTTGGCACTTCCAAGCCATGAGGTTTCACTTCTGGTTGTCTAAGGTACACCCTGCCACGTTCTTGCCACCAGGAATCATGTAGGAACCATCCCAGTTGCTTAAACCGGAGTTCTTTTCCTTTCCTCTGCTGCTGCTGCTTTTCCAAAAGTGCCTGGGTGGCTTTGAGGGCCTGATAAACTTTCCTCTTTTTCGGGAGATTTTCTGGAACCAAAGGGATCTTTCTGTTTTTTAAGGAAGATTAGCCCTCAGCTAACATCTGCTGTCAATCCTCCTCTTCTTGCTGAGGAAGACTGGCCCTGAGCTAATATCCATACCCATCTTCGTCTACTTTATATGTGGGACGCCTGCCACAGCATGGCTTGGTAAGCGATGTGAAGGTCCATACCTGGGACCTGAACCAGTGAACCCTGGGCAGCCAAAGTGGAACGTACAAACTTAACCGCTACACCACCAGGGTGGCCCCCCAAAGGGATCTTTTTGTTTGCTCTTCCTCCGCTATCTTTCCAGTGCTGCCTGATTGACTTTTTTTTTTTGGAAGATTGGCATGTGAGCTAAAACTGTTGCCAATGTTTTGGGGTTTTTTTCTGCTTTTTCTCCCCAAGTTCCCCCAGTACATAGTTGTATATGTTACGTTGATTGACTGGCCGATGTTGAACCATCCCTGTGTCCCTGGTATAAATCCCACTTGATCATGGTGTATAATCTTTTTGATGTATTGCTGTATTTAGTTTGCCAAAATTTTGTTGAGGATTTTTGCATCTATGTTCATCAGTGATATTGGCCTGGAGTTTTCCTTCTGTGTATTGTCCTTGTCAGGTTTGGGGATCAGGGTGATGTTGGCTTCATAGAATGTGTTAAGGAGTGCTCCATCTTCCTCAATTTTCTGGAATAGTTTGAGAAGGATAGGTATTAAATCTTCTTTGAATGTTTGGTAGAATTCTCCAGAGAAGCCGTCTGGTCCTGGGCTTTAATTTTTGGGGAGGGTTTTGATTACTGTTTCTATTTCTTTACTTGTGATTGGTCTATTCAGATTCTCTATTTCTTCCTGACTCAGTTTGGGGAGGTTGTAAGAGTCTAAGAATTTATCCATTTCTTCTAGGTTGTTCAATTTGTTGCCATATAGTTTTTCATAGTATTCTCTTATGATCCTTTGTATTTCTTTGGTATCCGTTGTGATTTCTCCTCTCATTTCTAATTTTGTTTATTTGAGTCTTCTCTCTTTTTTTCTTAGTGAGTCTGGTTAAGGGTTTGTCGATTTTGTTAATCTTTTCGAAGAACCAGCTCTTTGTTTCATTGATCCTTTCTACTGTCTTTTTTGTTTCAATACCCTTTATTTCTGCTCTAATTTTTATTATTTCCCTCCTTCTACTAACGTTGGGCTTTGTTTGTTCTTCTTTTTCTAATTCTGTTAGGTGTTGTTTGAGGTTGCTTATCTGAGATTTTTCTTATTTTTTGAGGTAAGCCTGTATTGCAGTGAATTTCCCTCTTAGGACTGTTTTTGCTGTGTCCCAAATGAGTTGGTATGGCGTGTTTTCATTTTCATTTCTCTCCAGATAATATTTGATTTCTTCTTTAATTTCTTCAATAATCCATTGTTTGTTCAGTAGCACGTTGTTTAGTCTCTACCTTTTTGTCCCTTTCCGAGCTTTATTCTTGTAGTTGATTTCTAGTTTCATAGCATTATGATCAGAAAAGATGCTCGATATTATTTCAACCCTCTTGAATTTATTGATGCTTGCTTTGTTTCCCAAGATATGGTCTATCCTTGAGAATGTTCCATGTGCACTTGAGAAGAATGTGTAACCTGCTGTTTTTGGATGAAGTGTTCTATATATATCTATTAAGTCCATCTGGTCTAATTTTTCATTTAATTCTATAATTTCCTTGTTGGTTTTCTGTCTGGATGATCTGTCCATTGGTCTTAATGGGGTGTTGAGGTCCCCTACTATTATTGTATTGTTGTTGATGTCTCCTGTGTTGGGTGCGGTATATATTTATAAGTGTTATGTCATCTTGGTGAAGCATCCATTTTATCATTATAAACTGCCCCTCTTTGTCTTTCTTTATCTGTTTTGCTTTGAAGTCTACTCTGTCTGATATAAGCATGGAGATACCTGCTTTCTTTTGTTCATTATTAGCTTGGAGTATAGTCTTCCATCCCTTCACTCTGAGTCTGTGTTTGTCTTTGGGGCTGAGGTGTATTTCCTGGAGGCAGCATATTGTTGGGTCTTGTTCTTTGATCCATCCTGCCACTCTGCATCTTTTGATTGGACAGTTCAATCCATTTACATTTAGAGTGATTATTGAAATCTGGGGGCCTACGCTGCCATTTGAGCACTTGTTTTCTGGTTATCTTGCATTTCCTTTGTGTCTCATCCCATGATATTTGGACTACTAATTCAGGTAGGTAAATTTCTGGTTTTGACTTTCTTCTTATTTTTAATTTGTGTCTTTATTCTTGTCATTTATTTATTGGGTACCAGGTGGTTTGTATAAAACATCTCACAGATGAGATAGTGCATTTTCTGATAGCCTCTTATTTCCTTAAATTAAAACGTTCCATCCCTTTTCTCTTCCCCTTCTGTTGTTATTGTCAAATATTTTTTTTTGTCTTCCTTCTTGTGTTGTGAGTGTGTGGTTAAAATGACAGGATTATATTTATTCTTGGTATTTCCCTTCCTTTTATCTTTAATGTTTTATTTAACTTTTGCTAACCTGTTCTGATGGAGAGCAGCTACTTTCTGTTATTGTCCTTATACCTATCTCCTTTGCTCTGGGTTTTGTAACCCCTTTCCTTATTTTGATTTTTCAGGTATGAGGGTCTTCCTGAGCATTTTTTGAAGAGGAGGTCTTGTGGCAGTGAACTCCCTTGACTTTTGTTTATTTGGGAAATTTTTTATTTCTCCATCGTATTTAAAGGGTTTTTTCACTGGGTAGAGTATCCTTGGCTGCAAGTTTTTGTCCTTCAGAGTTTTGAATACATCATTCCACTCTCTTCTAGCCTGTAAGGTATCTGCTGAGAAATCTGCTGACAACCTTATGGGGGTTCCTTTGTAGGTTATTTTCTTCTGCCTGGCTGCCCTTAATATTTTCTCTTTGTCATTGACTGTTGCTATTCACTACTATATGCCTTGGGGTTGGTCTTCTTACATTGATAAAGTTTGGAGATCTGTTGGCTTCTGTCACATGGAGTTCCATCTCTCTCCCCAGGTTTGGAAAGTTCTCAGCCAGTATTTCTTTGAACAGGCTTTCTGCCCCCTTCTCCTTCTCTTCTCTCTCTGGTACACCTATAATCCTTATGTTGCATCTCCTAATTGAGTCAGATAATTCCCGGAGAGTTTCTTCATTTCTTTTTAGTCTTAGGTCTCTCTCCTGCTCTGTCTGCAGCATTTCTATATTCCTGTCCTCCAAATTGCTAATTCTGTCCTCCATATTATCGACCCTACTGTTCAGAGAGTCCAGATTCTTCTTAATCTCCTCAATTGTGTTCTTCATCTCCAGTATTTCTGATTGGTTCTTCTTTATAATATCAAGCTCTTTTGTGACATAGCTCCTGAACTCATTGAGTTGTCCATCTGTATTCTCTTTCAACTCATTGAGTTTTTTAATAATGGCTGTTTTGAATTCTTCGTCATTTAGGTTATAGATTTCATCATCTTTGGGACTGTTTTCTGGGTACTTGTCATTTTCCTTCTGTTCTGGAGAGTTAATATATTTTTTCATATTGCTTGATGGCGTGGATTTGTGCCTCCGCATAGAGATAGAGTTTAGTTACTACTTCCACTTGTTTCTACTGGTGTGGCGGGGGGAGCAGCTGTTTAGACTGCACCAACCGGGAACCCTGTCAGCTATTGCTGACTGGACCTGGGCCCCTCCTCGTAGTCACAGTGGTCCTCTGCGGTCCCTCATCAGCTGTGGTGGCACTTGCAAGGGGGCCTCAGGCTGCTGGTGCCTACTGTGGTAGACCACCTAGACGTGCTCCCTCCTTGGGGTCTGCAGCAGTGTTATGGGCTTTCCCAGCAGCTGGGAGCAGGATCACCTATATTCACAGCTCTGTCACTGTCAGGGCCCACAAGATCTCACTTGTCCACTATAAGTCCCAGCAGAGCTGTGAGTATCTTCTGCAGTCTGTTGTTAGCTCACCCAGCTGTGCTACTTTTGCCCCAGGGCCTTCCAGCCTTGTGATTGTCGGTCAGTGCCTCTCCACTAGTGCTGTGCAGAGGCTTTCGCTGTGGCTGCTGTGGAACCGTGGATTTTCCCCCTGGGCCATGGAGCTCCACCCAACCCCTGGCCACTCCCATGGGATCACTGGGTCTCTCTTGCCCACTCTGGGACACAGCCGGAGTCCATGAATCAGAGGCGGCTGGTGGGCTGCTGCCCTGCCTGGGATCCTCCTCTCCCAGAGCCTCACAGCGTTCTGATTGCTGGGAGAGGCCTCTCCCCAAAAATATGGAACACTTCACAAATTTGCGAGTCATCCTTGTGCAGGGGCCATGCTAATCTTCTCTGTATCATTCCAATTTTGGGATACATGCTGCCGAAGCAAGGACGCATAGTTGTATATTTTAGCTCTGGGTCCTGCTACTTGTGGCCTGTGGGACACCACCTCAGTGTTGCCTGATGAGTGGTGCCATGTCCGCGCCTGGGATCCAAACCAGCGAAACCCTGGGCCATTGAAGTGGAGTGGGTGAACTTAACCTCTCGGCCATGGGACCAGCGCTGTTTTTTCCCCTCTGATTGACTTTTTTTTTGTTTTTTGAGGAAGATTAGCCCTGAGCTAACATCTGCTGCCAATTCTCCTCTTTTTGCTAAGGAAGACTGGCCCTGGGCTAACATCCATGCTCATCTTCCTCTACTTTATATGTGGGACACCTGCCACAGTATCTCCTGACAAGCAGCGCATAGATCCGCACCCACAATCTGAACCAGCAAACTGTAGGCCACCAAACTGGAATGTGTGCACTTAACCGCTGCACCCCTGGGCCAACCCCTCTGATTGGCTTTTGAATGCTTAATTTATCTTTCATTCCTGGCCTAAACCCCATCGTTTTTTTCTTTTAAATGTATCGCTGAATTTGATGCTAGTATTTTGTTAAACATTTTTGTATCATGAGAAATACTTGTTTTCATGAAATGTCTTAGTGAATTTTTTTTAATTTAAGTTTTTAATTGTGGTATAATACACATAGCCTACAATTTACCATCTTCACCGTTTTTTAAGTTCAATAGTGTTAAATATATTCACGTTTTCCTTCACCTAGTCTCCAGAACTGTTTTCATCTTCCAAAACTAAAATTCTATGCCATTAAACAACTCCTCATTCTCTTCTCCCACCGTTTCCTGGTAATCACCATCCTACTTTCTATATCTGTGAATTTTACTACTCTAAGTGGAATCATTGTGTGTTTGTTTAATGTGGTAAAATACATATAACATAAAATTGACTGTAAGTGGAATTTACTGCACTCACAATGTTGCACAGCCATCATCACTTTTCTGGTTCTGGAACATTTTTACAACCAAAGGAAACTAGCCACTAAGCAGTTGCTCCCCATTCTCCTTTTCCCACCAACTCCTGACAACTGTTAATTTGTTTTATGTCTTTATTGCTTTGCTGACTCATGATATGTCATATAGGTGTAATCATACAGTATGTGGTCTCTTATGTCTGCCTTCTTTCACTTAGCATAACTTTTTCAAGGTTGGCTGAAAAATGTTACGTTATTTGAATATACCACATTTTGTTATCCATTCATTTGTAGATGGACGTTTGGGTTATTTCTACCTTGTGGCTATTGCAACTAGTGCTACTATGCGTATTTGTGTACAAGTTTTTGTTTGAACACTTGTTTCAGTTGTTTTGAATATATACCTAAGAGTGGAATTGCTGGGTCTTATAGTAGTTCTGTATTGAACTTGTTTTGAGGAACTGCCAATATGTTTTCCATAGTACCTGAACCATTTCACATTCTTGCCAACAATGTACAAGGATTTCATTGTCTCCATATCCTCACCAACACTTGTCATATTCCATTTTTTTAATTACAGCCATCCTACTAGGTGCCAAGTGCTATCTTACTTGTGGTTTTGATTTTCATTTCCCTTTGGGCTGATAATGTTGAGCATCTTTTCCTGTCCTTGTTGACCATTTGTATATCTTCTTTGGAGAAATGTGTATTTAAGTCCTTTCCCCGTTTTTTAACTAACTTGTGGTCTTTTTGTTGTTGTAAAACTTGTTTAGATATTCTAGCTACTAGACCCTTATCAGATATATGATTTGCAAATAAGTCTCTCATATTTTCATTTTCTTGATGGTGTTCTTTGACACACAGAAGTTTTTACTTTAGGTGAAGTCTAAACACTTTTTTCTTTTGTTAATTCTGTCTTTGGTGTCATATCTAAAATACTACTGCTATATCAGAGATCATAACAATTTACCGTATGTTTTCTTCTATGATTTTTATGGTTTTAGCTCTTATGTTTATGTTTTTGATCCATTTTGAGTTAATTTTTGTTTATGGTAAGAGGTAGTGGTTCTTTTGCATGTGGAAATCCATTTATCCCAGCACCATTTTTTGAAGGGACTATTCCATTCCCATTTAACAGTCTTGGCACTGTTGTCAAAAATTGATTGGCCAGAAATGTATGTGTTTATTTCTGGACTCTCACTTCTTTTCTCGTGGTCTATATGTCTATCCTTTACCAATACCACTCTGTTTTGATTTAGTGTAGCTTTTTACTATGCATGAAATAGAAAGGCTCCAAGTTTGTTCTTCCTTTTCAAGATTGTTTCAGCTATTCTGGGTCCGTTGAACTTCCAAGTAAATTTTAGGATCAGATTTTGGATTTTTATAAGATTGCATTGCATTCGTAGATCACTTTGGGAAGTGTTACCATGTTAACAATATTAAGTCTTCCAGTTCACAAACATGGAATGCCTTTCAATACTTCGGTCTTCTTTAATTTCTTTTATCAACACTTTTTAGTTTTCAGCGTACAAGTCTTTCACCCCCTTAGTTAAATTTATTCCCAAGACTTTTATTCTTTTTAATGATCTTATAAATAGAATTGTTTTTCTTTTGGGATTGTTGATTCTTGGTATATAGAAATACAAAAGATTTTTATATGTTGACCTAGTACCTTGAAACTGTGTTGAATTTGTTTATTAGCGCTATTAGTTTTTTGTGGATTCTCTATGTAATTTCTATATATAGGATCATGTCATCTGTGAATAGGGATAATTTTACTTCTTCCTTTCCAGTTTAGATGCCTCTTAGTTCTTTCTGTTGTCTAAATGCTCTGACTTGAACTTCTAGTAATTGTTGAATGGACTGGTGGAAGCAGGCATCATTGTCTTGTTCCTGCTCTTAGTTTTCAGTTTTTCATCAATAGGATAAAATGTTACTTGTAGGTTTTTCATAAATGCCCTTTATCATGTTAAGGAAGTTCCCTTCTATTCCTAGTTTGAGTGTTTTTGTCATGAAAAGGTTTTGGATTTTGTCAAAACTTTTCAGTATCAATTGATAGATTCTTATATTTTTGGTTACTCATTCCCTTCATTGTATTAATGTGATATATTGATTGATTTTCTTATGTTGAACTGTTCTTATATTCCTGGGATAAACACTCATTGGTCATGTATAATCTTTTAATATGTTTTTGGATTTGGTTTGCTGGCATTTTTTTGAGGATTTTTGAATCTATATTATAAGAGTTATTGGTCTGTAGATTTCTTTTCTCATAGTGTCTTTGTCTGGCTTAGGTATGAGGTAACACTGGCCTCATAGAATTAGTTTGGAAGTATTCCCTCTCCTTCGGTTTTCTGGAAGACTTTGAGATGGATTGGTACTAATTTTTCTTTAAACATTTGGTAGAATTAACGCATGAACCCATCTGGTCCTTGGCTTGTCATTATAGGGAGATTTTGGATTTCTCTTTCAATCTTTTGTTATAGAACTGTTCAGATTTTCCATTTGTTCTTGAATCAGTTTTGGTAATTTTTTTGTTTCTAGCGATGTGTTCACTTCATATAGTTTATCTAATTTGTTGACATAAAATTGTTCATAGTATTCTCTTATAAATCCTTTTTATTTTTGAATAGTTAATAGTAATGCCCCTACTTTCATTTCTGATTTTATTTACATCATCTCATTCATCTATTCATCATTTATATCATCTCTCATTCATCAGTATCTATTTGTCCACATATCGTTCTCCTGGTTTTATTTAGTTCCTTGTCCATGGTTTCTTTTAGCTCTTTGAGTATATTTAGGACAGTTGATTTAGTGTTTTTGTCTAATAAATCCAATGTCTTTGGTTGCTTACTGTAGGTTTCTATGAATTTATTTTTTCCCTGTGAATGAGCCATATATTCTTATTTCTTTTTAAGCCTTGTGGTTTTTGTCATAAACTGGACATTTCGAATATTGTAATATGACAATTATGGAAATCTGCATTTGCCTCTCCTCCCCGGAGTTTGCTCTTCCTTCTGGCAGCTGTTGTCCATTTGTTTAGTGAGTTTTCCAAACTATTTTTGTGAAGACCGTATTCCTTGCCATGTGTAGTCTGTGAAGTCTTTGTTCACTTATCTCTGTGGTCAGCCAGTGACTTGACCTTGAACAACTGAAGCCAGAAAGAATAATGAAAACATACTCTCCTAGTCTCTTCAGATTGTCTTTGATCTGAGGTGTTCCTTCAATGTTTAACCAATTCGCCTACAGCTCTGTTTTAGTCTTCACTGCCTGCTTGTGCAAAGCCCCGAGATCAGCCAGAAGTGCAAGCCTAGGATCCTCTCAGGTCTTTTCTGAGTAAACCTCTGACTCTGGGCATGTGTATTGTACTCTGGATTCCCTGGTGTATGTGGGAGCCATTCACAGCTCTTTTTCCCCCAAGTGTCTTCCTTTTGTTTGTTTGTTTGTTTCTGAGGAAGATTAGCCCTGAGCTAACATCTGCCAATCGTCCTCTTTTCGCTGAGGAAGACTGGCCCTGAGCTAACATCTGTGCCCATCTTCCTCTACTTTATATGTGGGATGCCTACCACAGCCTGGCTTGCCAAGCAGTGCCATGTCTGCACCCAGGATCTGAACCAGTGAACTGCCAACCGCTGAAGCGGAATGTGTGCACTTAACTGCTGCACCCCCAGGCCGTCCCCCAGTCTCTTCCTTTTTATCCTCCTCTTTCCCAAGATTTTGGGTCCATCTGCTGCTTGCCCCATCTGCCATTCCTTTCTCCAGGTAGGCTGAAAGTATTATTTATCTTTAAATGCTTTTGACAACCACCACACAGGAATCTGCTCCAGCTGTAGGGAGATGATACAGAAGCAAATCTCTTCACCAGTCCATCAGGGAACCACCAGACAGGTCAAAACACACTCCTACGATTATTTGATAATGGGGTCTTTATTGCCCTCCTGGCACCAGCAATCTGCACCAGAATTGGGCCACCATCTTGTTGGCTAATGTCAAGCTGGGAAATGGGGGATGGTAGGCAGGTAAGCAAAAATGCAACACCACATTTTTACTAAAATTTCCTAGCCTCTTTCTTCAT